GGTGTCTCTAGCTTTTTAAAAATAAAGATTAAATATAAAAATAATTTACCAATTACTCATACTCCTGCACACTTGATTGCTTTTCAGGACGCACCAGTTGAGAAAAGCTTAGCTGGTCTATCAGCGGCTTCTCTGCGATAAAATTAATTATGTTTTCTAACTGAGAATCTATACTGTTAGTCTGTTTGATTTTCCGACCGTCACATTTTACGCACAATTTGTTCACAATTTTAACTAAACTCACAATTTTAACCAAATTCAGAAACAAATGTTGTATTCCATAATCCAGTTATTCACAATCGATTTTGGACCATATCACACTTTAGTTTTTCTAAAATTCTGGTCCCCCACTGTAATATTTAATTATTACATATTCAAAATTTTACTGCAATTCACGTGAAGGAAGCTTAAAAGGCCATTAATTTGGTCTCTAAACAAACCTCCAATGACCATGGCGTCCATGAAAGAGAAAAATTAAAAAAAACAAAGAGACAGTTACATATATATAGTTTCAAAACATATAATAAAGAACTGAAAGGCAGAAATATAAAATATTTGAAAGAAAGCTTATTCTGTAATATACTTTGATCATTTTAATCATGAATTAATAATGCAAAATGAAATTTGAGCTCACTAGAAAAGAATTCACTGTTAATAACTAATTCTTGAATTGCCCCCTTATTCTGTTGGTATAGTAAGCTGAAGGGTGCATATCCTATGCATGACCTACCAAAATATTACCATGCCCCTCCGGTGGGGTATACGTTCCACGTTGGGAATCGTTGCACTAAGCTATCTTTGCGTAGTAAATAATAAGAGAATATATCCCTAGATATTATCAGTGAGATAAATCTAATCGATTAAATTAAGTGTTCAGTTCGAAATTCCTTAGAGGACTAATTTGCATCCCATCAAAGTATATTAGTCAGAGAGGTTACCTTCTCATATTTTCAGCATAACCTAATTTTTTTCTCATCATAAACTAAGGTTTTCTCACCATAAACTAAGGTTTTCTCACCATAAACTAAGGTTTTCTCGCCATAAACTAAGGTTTTTCTCACCATAAACACAAGCGAAGACGAAAGAGTTTGCTTAAAAGTTGTTTTTTTTTAATTTTTAAGCATTTCACCCCAAGCAAGGGGGGAATGCCAACAGCACGCAAGGGGTTACAGAGAGTGAAAGTACAAATGTTTTTTGTTTTTTTTTTGCGGAAAGGATAAAGAGAAGGACGGGGATCGAGATTAAGGCATCAGAAGATGTCGATTGACATTACATTTGAATATTTGAATATTATAGCTATCAAGGAAGCAAGTGAAAGGGAGGGAGTGCTACTGTGTGGAAGTGCGAGATAAGAAGCTGTTGGAGTAGAAGCCGTTACATTTAACCGTTTCGTTAGTGAAAGGGTCAGACCGAAATAAATAGATTTACTCCAAAACGAGTTCGGATACGCCCGATGTTCCCAACCTGGGCGATATTGACCACCGGTGGGCGATTTCAACTGTTGGGTGGGTGTTGAGAAACTGAACAGAAAATAGACAATTGGAAATTTTGAGAAATGCAAAGAACCTGTATGAAAAAAAAAAAAAAAATCAGGAGACTTATTTGGAGTAACTGAATCACATTCCTAAGTGACTTATAAATATTCTAGGAAACAAAGAATATTTTGATATTTTCTATAATTTTGAGAAGGGTCATTAACACTCAATTAGTTTTTAGAAGAAATAACTTTTTTTTTCCGGATATAAAACAGATAAGAAAAAACTTAAAAAATATTTCCTGAATATTTTTTAATTGCTCGTAGTGTAGTTTCTTTTTTAATTTTGTATTATAAACAAAAATCGTTTAAATTTTCATCAACACTCCACGCTAACTCCAGCCATAAAACTAACCTTAACAATAAAACTAAATTATATATATATATATATAAATTTTAATGGTAATGCCCGCCTTTGTTCTTTAATAGAGCAGTAGAAGGTGTAGCGTAAGTCAGTGTTATTTGTTACCTTCCTTTGGTATTTTGACTACATTATCAAGTCAGATTATGAACCAGTAACAAACTTTTATCAAACAATTTTGGTATGTTTTTGAATATTTACAATACAGGTGGGCGGTGAATGATTTTTCCATGTAAAAATGGGCGATGACACAAAAAATGTTTGGAATGCGCCAATATTTCGATGAAATTTATGTTTCCTTTTTTCAGTACGGTTTAAGAACAGGTTTACCAAGGAAAGGTAAGATAAGTTTTTAAAAATTAGCGTAAAAAAACAAAAATATGATTAGCCGTGATTTGAATGATTTATCCGTTTACAATCATTTTCTCTAATATTAGTAAATCAATAAAACTTCCTGGGAATAGTTGTGGAATGGCTTCCTGTTGCCATCATTTGAATTCAGAGTTGTTCTTCTGCTTGACTCACTTCTGCCTAAGGCTAATTAGGGTGATCTGTCCTGTTATTTAAGCTATAGATATTTAATTATTAATTTAAGTCCAGTAGCT